ATCTACCACAGTTTTTTTTTTTTTTTAAGGATTTTATTTACTTTATTTTTTAGAGAGAGAGGAAGGGAGGGAGAAAGGGAGAGAAATATCAATGTGTGGTTGGTTGCCTCTTTTTTGGTCCCCACTGGGGCACCAGGCCTACAACCCAGGCATATGCCCTGAGTGGGAATTGAACCAGCAACCCTTTGGTTCACAGCCTGCCTTCAATCCACTGAGCTACACGGGCCAGGGCTCGTACAGTTTTTTTTTTTTTGTAGTGTGTACAAACATAAAACAAGGGGCCTTTTGCGCTAGGAGTTGGCATATTTTGAAGGTATATGTGTGCACAAAGAGTGATTATGTGTATATGTATATAAATTACACATAATTATGTGTTATATGTAAAATATATGTCAAATTAAGGTTTTCATTGCTGCAAAGATAAAAGTGGGATCATTTGTTCTGTCAGTCAGTGGGTCCTTGATGACCGTTGTAGGCAGTTTTATCAGTGGTAGATGGCAGTTCAGGGTGACCGTAGGGGGTGAGGAAGCAGAGACGGCGACCCAGACAACTCCTAGAGAGTGTGGTTAAGGGGAAAGAGCAAGGGGGTCTGGGAAGGAATGATTCTGGATTGCGGAGACCTGAGAAGTATTGATTGATGGAATGGAGGAGCCTTTAGAAAGGTGGGACTGGAAGTTTAACTGAGAGCCCTGACCCCTGTGGCTCAGCTGGTTGGGCATCGTTCTGCAGGGCAAAGGGCGGAGGCACGTGCCTGGATTGGGGGCTCCTTCCCAGGTCCAGGCGAGGCTGGGTCGGGAGGCGGCCCATCGATGTTTCTCAGGGCACCGGTTTCCCCTCCCGTCCTCCCTCCCTTCCCCCTCTCTAAAAATAAATAATATCTTAGCGTATGTATAATTTACTTGTCTCTAAAGAGTTTTATCTAAAAAATTCTTAGTCGTTTGAGGTAGAAGTTTCATTTTGCCCTAAAGAAAAGGCATATTCACTCTGGTGTTTAAGAGAGCCACTAACTCTCTAATTTTCCCCGTTCCACTGATTTGATTGACTAGTTAAATTATTGAATGTAGGCTGGAGTGTTATTCTCGAAGAATATATTTTACTTCACAAATACGGTTTCTGCCCTGGCTGGTGTGGCTCGGTTGGTTGGGCTTCGTCTTGCAAACCAAAAGGTGTCAGGATTCCCAGTGAGTGCACATGCCTGGGTTACCAGTTCGGTCCCCAGTCAGGGTGCGTGCAAGAGGCAGGCAGGCAGTGTCTCCCTCTCTGTCTCCCTCCTTTCCCCTCTCTCTAGAATCAAGAAAAGGAAAAAAAACTTAATAGGGGTTTTATCCTAACAATAGATATGTTTTGCCTTTAGTCTGCTTTTTCAGTCTGGAAAAATAGCTTGAAAATGTTTGCTTTGTTACCTAATACTGAAAAGAGTTTTTATAATAGTGTTTAAAATGTAATAGACATGAAAAGGTAGCATACACGAGTGTGTGCTTATTTACAAAAAACAAACGACACAACAGAGGACAGTATTGAATAAAGTTCACGTCACACCAGCCTCCAGTGTAGTGGTCGCCACCGTTCACTGGCAGAGGTTTACCCCCCACACACACCATTTTTGTGTATATATGCTATACTCATGTTTTATACAGATATAAACAACCCAATGAGGTGGTTTGGTTTTGCTTTTCACATGAATGGGATCTTATGTTTTGCAACTTGATTTTTGTTTGTGTGGTCGGTGGGTTTTTTTTTCATTTGACAGATCTTGGTGAGTCCTCAGATTCAGTGCATACAGGTCCACCTCATTCTTCTTAACCACTGGTTCTCTGGGTCAGATACAGTCGGCATTCGATGGTACGTTAGTTTCAGGCGTACATACAGCATAGTTGTTAGACATTTATGTAACTTACAAAGGAACCTCCCCGAGTAAGTCTAGTACTCACCTGACACCGTACATAGTGTTTACAGTATTATTTACTATATTCCCTATGCCGTACTTTATATCCCGTGACTATTTTGTAACTGCCAGTTTGTACTTTTAATCACTTGCTTTCCTTTTTATCTTTATAAACTATCATTGAACACCTGTGTACAAATATCTTCATATACAAGTTTGGGTGTTTTGATCAGATAGCATGAAACAGAACGTTGATAAATTTTAGAAGCTTAGCTGAATTCTGACATTGGTAGGAACCGCTCAGGAAAAGTACCACATTCTTCCCCTCTCTCAGGGGTCTCCAGGTCTTGCTTTCACACTGCTTTCTTTCATGGGTTCCATCAGCCTTAACCATCCAGCAGCCTTTCATTTTGAGAATGGGCACTTGGGAAGTGACTGCTTCCCATTATCCCCTTCGCTACAGTTCTGTCTGTCTTTTTGGCACTGTCTCGTTTGCTTTCTTTTTACTGTTAAGGAGTCTGTGTATAACATACTTATCATTAACTGCTCTTAGCATTATTGAATCCAAAAGACTATAAATCCAGGGTAATACAGTATAACTTCTATTAGCTACCATTTGGGGTTGTGAGAAAAATGGATGCATCAAAATATGTTTGACCTGTTGGCATATTTAATTTCTTATCCCCTGGCACAACTCACGCTTCATTCTGGTTCCCAAACTTGGAGGCAGGATCAGACACATGTATGTAGTTCCTTCATATTAAGTACACTTTCAGGTTACATTTCTTAAGATACTACTATTATGGCTGTTTGTGAATTTGGTTAGAATAGTGGTTCTTAATCTGACTTGTCTTTTAAAAATATTAATAGAACCCTGGCTGCTGTGGCTCAGTGGATTGAGCGCTGGCTTGTGAACCTAAAAATTGCCGGTTCCATTCCCAGTCCGGACACATGCCTGGGTTGCGGGCTGGGTCTCCAGTTGGGCATATGACAGGCAACCAATTAATGTATCTCTTGCACATCAGTGTTTCTCTCCCTCTTTCTCCCACCCATCCCCTCTCTCTAAGAATAAGTAAAATATTTTAAAAATATATTAATAGAGGTGAATGTAATGGTTGTATGTTCTGAAAACTCTCCAGTTGATTCAAGGGTACCATCTACATTAAGAAGCACTGGATTGAGAGGCTATGCTAAAAGAATTTTCATATTTAAAAAAATATTTATATATAACATTCGATCCCTTAGACTAGATTGTTTCACTAGTGATACCTTGGGGGTGGTGAAGTCTGGCTGGTTTAATCTACGGATTTTAGGACAAGGTCCTAAAATTAACTACATACAATGCAGTGTTCCCTTGTCCTCTAACATCGAATAGTTTCCTAGAGCTGCTGTAACAAGCTGCCAGGACTGAGTGGCTTAAAAGGACAGGGATTTATTCTCTCCTAGTTCTGGAGGCTAGAAGTTAGAGATCCGTGTGTCGGTAGGGTTCTCTGGAGGCTCTTGGGGAGGACCCTCCCTTTCCTCTGTCTAGCTTCTGGTTTCTTGACTTGTAGACTTGTCACTCCGATCTGTGCCTCTTTTCTTTCGGAAGGGCATTCTCTTTGTATCTTTGTTCAAATCAGTCATTGGATTAGAGCCCACTCTAATCCAGTAGGACCTCATTTTATCTTGATTACATCTGCAAAGATCCTGTTTCCAAATAAGGTCACATTCACAGGTACCAGGGGATTATAGGACTTCAATTTATTTTGGGGAATGCAATTCATCCACGACAAGCCTCTTGCCTAATTACCTGTCGTCTAGCAAAGGAGCCATGGGTCATAAAGGGAAATGAGTAAGAGGTAATGTGAAATTGCAGAATCTCAGTCTCACGGGGCGGGGGGGGGGGGTCTCTCAGAGTAGTTAAAATATGAACGCCTGGGAAGATCTTTCCACTCGATTTTTAATTTTATAGTTTTCTCTGTAAGACCTTAACTTCTCGGGAAAGTACTGTGGTGTGTCTGTAGAGCATTACAAACAGTTGCTCCTGAAGTTTCTCAGTAACTTTTTGGTCACGTTTTTCTTTTCCTTATGGATTTAATTTATTCATTTTGGGGGGGAGGAAGAGAGGGAGAGAAACATTGATACATTGATCGGTTGCCTGTCACGCCCCCACCCAGGCACGTGCCCTGTTGGGAATCACCCTGGCAACCTTTCAGTTCACAGGCACTGGATTGAGTGCCTGTGAACTGAACCACTGAGCCACACCACTGAGCCACACCAGCCCAGGCTGGCCACTGTTTTGTTTTGTTTTGTTTTTTTCCTTTCAATAAAATGTTCCAGCCTTAGGCTTGTTCACAGAATCACCTGTGACAGCAGAGCTTCTGAAGGTACAGAGTAGGGCCTCCGAATCTGTACTTGGAACAGTTACCCCAGGTGGTCCCTACACCTGGGAAAGATTGGGAAAGCCAGTGTATGGAGTGATAAAGCAGTTATTCATCACCATACTATCTGAATGGTTTGCTCTTTGAAGGGGATTTGACATTGAGCCTGGACATGGGAGGTGGCTTGGTGCTGTAAGCCAAGGATGCTGCTCAAATATTTCATTGGCTTCTAATCTGATGGTGATCAGAATCATCTGAGAAGCATTTAAAACTACAAATGCCTGGATTTAACTTCAGCAATTCTAATACAATAGGAAAAACCTTTTCAAAGTGTCCTAGGTGATTCTAATAATCTACCAGACAGGTAGGTTTGAAGACCAGATCACTTATGTAGTACAATATAAAAGGTAAAGTATTGGAGTCAGTAAGTCTGGATTTAAATCTTGTTTCTTTTATTTTTAAGACTTATGAACTTGGGCGAAAGGATTAAAGTTCTCCTTTGGTGTTTTTTAAAAAGGGAGCCTACTTATAGGGGGAAGTTTTAACTAGAATTCCTTGTCAGTCTACAATCAGATGAAGGCATTGGTGAAAATTTCTCACCATAAAGTGAGAAAGTCTGATATTCTACCATAGTTATTTTATGGCTGAGTAATATTTGGGATAATAGCAAATCAGTAATTGAACTGGGTATGAGCTTTTAAAATCACTAAGCATACTGTCTCTTGAATTAACCACCTTTCTTTTTCTTGAAGATCTGATTGTCATGGACCTGCGGCAGTTTCTCATGTGCCTGTCCCTGTGCACAGCCTTTGCCCTGAGCAAGCCCACGGAAAAGAAGGACCGCGTGCACCATGAGCCTCAGCTTAGCGACAAGGTCCACAATGATGCTCAGAGCTTTGACTATGACCATGATGCCTTCTTGGGTGCTGAAGAAGCAAAGACCTTTGATCAGCTGACCCCAGAAGAGAGCAAGGAAAGACTTGGGTAAGGTGTCAGCTCTCGGGGCTGGTTCCGATAAAGACGTTTCTTTACAGATCAGCTCATTCTCTTTTTCCCTCTGGCTCAGTCACCCAGTACAGCTTTGCTGAACTACCTTTTTTGAAAACTAATCACAGAGCTGCTGATTAACACTTGCTTTCATACATTTCTCCATTGAGTAAGTTTTTACCTCATTCTACGAAGCAGTCATTTTTGCATAAACGTGACAAATATTGAAGGACCCAGCTTGATCCCAAAGGGACATTATATGGTAGGGGAAAGGAGAGCTTCTCATCCCTGCCCCTTTTAATTTTTAAGAACCATTCCTGACCTAGTCACTGTTCCCCAACCCAAATCTTTGAGTGGATCATAAACTACAAATTGAACCTTTGAATAATTTCTGTAAAGCTTATGATTTCCAAGAATGTTCCTCACCCTCTTTGTTTTCATTCTCAGATATTTGCTTAATTAAAAAGAAAAACCAAAACAAACAAACCCTGCCCTTTAGAAGACTTTGGAGGTAAAATACTTAATGTCACAGTATGAATTGCTGTGTTGGTAACAGCTGGGCCATAGTCAGGTTCCATGACTCGCTCAGTGAGTGTCCTCTTACCTGAAACATTGATTTGGTAGAGTTCCAGTTGATTTCTTTTTTTTTAGAGAGAGAAACATCAATTTGTTCCATTTGTTTATACATTCATTGGTTGGTTCTTGTATGTGCCCTGACCAGGTATCGAACCCACAACCTTGGTGTATTGGGCCAATACTCTAACCAGCTGAGCTGCTTGACCAGGGCTTGAGGATCTGAGAATGTCTTTTGGCTCTTCCAAAGCCTTGTCTTTTGTCCCTAAAAATGTCCCTAGAAATAACATAAGGTCTACTAAGTGTATTTTGTCTGCCCTGGAATAAATGCTTATTTAGTGGTGTCATTAAACCTGTCATGCAGGTTAATTTAAAGAATATCTTTTCCTCGGTGATCACAGTTGGTATGACTTTCTGAACTGTGAGCAGGGGCTCTGTTGGAAAGTCGTACTAGGAACATCCAAAAATAGTTTGCTCTCACGGTAGTGCTGTGATTAGGAGACGTTATAGGGTTTGCTTTCAGTGATACTTAGGGATAAATTTATTTTATTTTTTCTACAATATTTTATTCTTAAACACTAACAGAAATAATCAAAAGATTTTGCTATGTAGAATGAGACACTATCCTAAAATATTTGAAAGTAGAGAAAACACGCATATTAAAGAGTCAGCCTTCTATTAAGTTGCTTTTCTAAATTTCCGGAGAACACGCTCACTTTCATTTTAATCTTATAAACATACTAACGGTCCTGGCTGGAAATTGAGCTTCATGAGGGTGTTCTCAGTCTTCACGTCTTGCCTGTTAATAACATGCATGTCCAGCCCACAGCTTGTCTGCACATAGCTCTTCGCAGAGTTACTCTGACATAATGAAGCGCCCTTACGCTAGGTGTCACCCGGAAGGTTCTGGCCCTGTGCAGGCAGTGGGGCGGCTCTGCTAGGAGTTGTCAGTGGAGGGAGAACATTTTTCTTTGTCACTAGTAACTATCAAAAGGTCAGCACTTGAGCAAGTTCCACAATTGATTAGAAAGATCATATTTTTCATAGAATGTGTGAATGAACCAACTACTCTTTGCTTTTCCCAAATTTTGGAGATAATGACAAAAAGGTGACATACTGTTGGAAGGAAACAACAGATTCCCCCTCTTTTTCATCTAATTATAGGCAAGTAATTATTTGGAGACAAAATCATTTTTCATACCTGTATTGTAAAAATTTACTACTACTTTTAAATCTTAGTAATAACTAAAAGACTACAGAAAGCATTTTAAAACAATCTTAATACCGAGTTTTAAGTTCATTTTTTTGTTAAGAATGTTGACACATCGAACATTTTTTTTTTTTTTCTTTTTCTTTTTTTTTTTTTTTTAAAGATGTTATTTCTTTTTACAGAGGGGGAGGGAGTGAGGAACATCATTGCGTGGTTGCCTCATGTGCGCCCCCTACTGGGCACCTGACTAGCAGCCCAGGCATGTGCCCTGACTGAGAATCAAATCATCAACCCTTTGGTCCCCAGGCCAGCTCTCAATTCACTGAGCCACGCCAGCCAAGGCAGAACATTTTTTCTTATGTGTTTATTCTCAGCTTCCCCACCTGTCTCGCTGTCCCCCACCCAAGAAGTTTAAGTATCCTTAATTTTCATATATATATCCTTCAAATGAGGATTTGTTTTGAGATGGTGGTCCTTATTGTAAAAAAAAGTTCCCACCCTTGATATATTTGCTATAGAAGTTAACTAGAGCAGTTCACCATCCTTTCTGGGGGGTCACAGACCCAGGCCCTTCAGGAGTCTAATGAAAGCTCAAGACTTCCTCAGAAAAGTGCCCACGTGAATACACATAGTTTAAAAAAAATTTTTTATTTACTGACTTAAAGAGAGGGAAGGGAAAGGAAAGGCAGAAAAATCAATTTTTGTTCCGCTTTCTTAATGCATCATTCATTGGTTGGTTCTTATATGTGCTGTGACTGGGATTGAACCCACAACCTTGTTATATCAAATGACACTCTAACCAACTGATCTACCTGGCCAGGCTAGATAAAAGTTTGCATGCTGAAAATTTCAGATAAATACAATAAACCCTACTGGAGCACACTTATTGACCAAGGTTCTTAAAAAAAAAAAAAAGCAAAGGTTCTTTTTTTGTTTTTTGTGTTTTTTTATGCCTTTTGAAATGTAGAGGCATGTGTTACCTCTTAGGACAACTAACATAAGGTCTACTAAGTGTATTTTGTCTGCCCTGGAAGAAATGCTTATTTAGTGGTGTCATAATTATACCTGTGGTGTTTTCCAGCGCCATAGGAATACAACACCAGTAGCTTCGTAAATTTACTCAGGAGTTTACAGATTAGACTTCAGAGCTTCCCGTCTAAAGTAGAACACTCCCACTTTCATTGTACTTTTACAACTGCCTGCGGGCTGGAAGGCCAGCAAGATAAAAATGGCTTTATATATATATATTCCCCCCCACCCTGCTTTTCTTGCTTTATTTTTTATACTTCCACGGCCTTTTGGTAAAGTAGGCTGAGGCCAATAAAATTAGCTGGACTGGATATGCAGAGGTTAGAGGCTGGGGAAGCCTGGCTTTTATATTTTTAAATGGTTGTGTAAAAAAGCAAAAAGTAATTGCTTCTTGTCCTTTTGGCTAAGATCAGGTTTAGTATCTGTTCTTACCAGTTTAATAAAAAGCACAAAGATACTCAGCAAACCATATGTGGCCATGAAAGTCAAAAATACAGGATGGGGCAAACCTACAGGGTAGGTTTGCAGTTGTTTGCATGGAAAAATAATGCAATGATTAATAAATACAACACAAGAATAAACTGTGTTTCATGTACTCACAACTGTACACCTGCTGTTGCCCCACCCAGTAATTACTGTCTGTCCCTTTTCAGTAAAATGTTCCCAACCTCTGGATTAAACCACTGTTTGGGATATTTCTATTGAAATAAGTAGAATGGCATGTAGCCAACTTCATCAAAAAAAGGCCATCTTAAACAGTCACTTTTTTAAAGAAAAATCTGAGTGATCCTTCTTTTTGGGCTGTTTGTAATGGTTAAGATTTTTCTTTGGGAACAGGAGGGGTCCTGGTACCTCGCCCCTTTTTTACTGAGTGGTACAGTAGCACTGTTGGTAGCCAGTGCCATTTGTATTGTTAAAACTCCACAGGGTTAAAGTTGCAAATAATTTTTTTGTCCTATGTCCATGTAGATAGAGGAGGGTATTTAAGAGATGGCTTCTTATTGCTTTACCTTTTAATGTTTTAGATCCAGAGCTATAAATTATACCTTCTCTGAAGGAAAAATACTTAATTATAGGATTAAGTTCTGCCTAACACCACATCAGTATCAAGATGAATCTCTTCTCATAGTGTCACTTACACTCTGATCCAATCGCTTTCCAATGAGTTGTGGAAACGAGTGCTGGGAACAGACGTTACTTGCTACCAGGTGACTGTCTTTTTCAATCCTGCATGTAATAGAGCATAGGGCGCCACAATCTCAGTTCTGTTAGGAGTTTTGATTTCAGGTTCCTATTCCAAACTCAGCCCCGTTGTTATGTGGCTTTACATAGGCTGTCTTGGCCTCTGTGAGCAGGTGATTGCATTTTTGAACAGGAGTTTTCATATCATGCACATGTTTTGAAATCCTTACATTCAGATTACAGACCTGGAAGAAGGAAGCTCATACAGGGCGGAGTGTAGTGACTCTTAAGCTCTGCCGTTCTGCTCCATCATCTGTACCCTAACCCTCTCTGCTTACTAACCTTCTCATTCAGAGGTACGCATTCTTCCCACATTATTTCCTTGGAGTTCTCTGTTTTTGTGGATATTTGTAGAAACCTAATTCAACATAGTGTATAATAAGCTACTGGCCATTTATTAGAATAACCTTGCTGCCTCTGTATTTTTGTGTACCTGTCTTGTTTTTTAAATAATCTTCATTTGAGAGATACGTGATCCCAGAACTTTTTTTGATATCTTTATATTTGGAACCAAAAAAAAGTGTTATCTTTTTAAAAGAGGAACTGAATGTTATAAAGTCTGGTTTAAATTTTTATTTTTAGAAAACCATGCCAATGGTTGTGACTGTTGACCAAGAAATGTAAAGATGTGCACATTTCTGATACCAGGCGCAGAGGAGATTGCCTCCTGGACCCTGACCACCGACTGAAACCCGCCTCCAGTGGGATGGGGCGGGGCGATTTTGGATCCATGTGAACCTGCCATGGCCTGTGCTTGCCTTATCCAGATGGCTCATCACAGACCAGTAACAGGGCACTTAAGAAAAAAAGTTTCAGTTGCCTATTTGGCAGTTTCGTTGGGGGATAATTTTTATTTCCATGCTTTAACTTGGGCAACACTTGTGGTCACAGCACACACCTGGCTGAATAAATCCAGAGCTTTGTGTCCTTTTAACCTCTTGCTGGATTTCTCTGCATTTTCTACAGAAAGATTGTAAGTAAAATAGATGGCGACAAGGACGGGTTTGTCACTGTGGATGAGCTCAAAGACTGGATTAAATTTGCACAAAAGCGCTGGATTTACGAGGATGTAGAGCGACAGTGGAAGGGGCATGACCTCAATGAGGACGGCCTCGTTTCCTGGGAGGAGTATAAAAATGCCACCTACGGCTACGTTTTAGGTAGGTCCCTCCTATCTAGGGGAAAAAGCCTGTGGAGCTGACACCTTGAAACGTAACTGTTTTGTCTTGTAGAATGATTGTAGATAAAATAGACGCGGATAAAGATGGGTTTGTGACGGAGGGGGAGCTGAAATCCTGGATTAAGCACGCCCAGAAGAAATACATATATGACAATGTTGAAAACCAATGGCAGGAGTTTGATATGAATCAAGACGGCTTAATCTCCTGGGATGAGTACAGGAACGTGACTTATGGCACTTACCTGGGTAAGGGGCAAGACGTCGGCCCGGCAGAGGCCATGGTCTTGAGTCAAAGAAACAAATGGGTCACACAGTGAAGGGAAGGAAGGAACGGCTTACCTTAGTTCATTGCTGAGCTGATTTCCCTTTGTTCTGTTCATTTTAAATTCACGTTGTACACTTTTTAAATTCATTTAACTTTCATTTCCAAGGTTCTGGCATCTCCTGCATTTTTAGCATTTTAATAATATTTTACCATTTTTTAATTTCTATCGTCATCAGAGAGATCATTTTAGAGTAGATCTTGTTTAAAAGGCTGCGTTGTTCCCACAATGCAAAGCAAGCGGCTTTGAGATTTCTGTCGACATTAAGGTGTTGGACCTGAAACTCAAGCCAAATTAGGTTCCTGTATAACTTGTGGGACTAGGAGGAAAATGTCTTTCCTAAGTAAAATACAGATTCAAGATAGGTTTCCTTAATAAAATGTATTCCAGTATGTCTGAAGTTTAGAAATGAAAATTCCCATTTGTTTTCTCTGGCACATGAGTTTATCAGACTGCTTTGCACATGCTTCAGGGCAAATGAACGCGACCTTTTTATTGCTTTCTGTTGATTTGATAGCTTCTGCACTTGGGCCACCGGTTAGCAATTTTTTTTCCTTCCTCCTCTTGCCTGCCGGGAAATGCTAGATAGCGATCTAACTGAGTTGGTGATGATTTGGTGTTTCTATTAGTAAGATTCCTCTATTGTACATGCTTACAATTTGGGATAACAGTGTATAAATGTTTCCGCTTGCGCTTTTATTACAGAAATTGGGCAAATTCCTGGGTTAAAGCAGGTGTCTTCCACCCCTAATAGGTAGTGAGTCTCTTTTCCCCCACTGGATAGCCAGCTGTCCATGTTGATTACAGGACCACGTGCATTTCTAGTGGAGAGGCTTTTATTCGTGTCCACCTGCTCTCATTCCTAAGACTTAAGTGGCAACCTGTCTCCAAGCTTGACACTTAGCCAGGAATCCAACATAGACTTCACCCAATTAAGAGCACGTGTATTAAAAAATCAGGGCAGGTAGAAGTATTTGTGCTTCTTGCTCTCTGGCTGGGACCCCTTGATTTATCTGCAATTAATTATAAATACAAAACAAAGGGTAGGTTGTTGGTGGTCTAAATAGAATGGTATGCTAATAAATCCGAGCACTCAGACCTAGGCACTCAGTAGCTGCCCAGAAAAAGTCTTACGCTGTTTGTATGATTATGTGCATAAAAATCTGTTGAGAGCTCTGTTAGTTCACTGGGTAAATGATTCAATGTCATGGGAATTTCTGCTGACAGCCTTTGCATAAGCTGAAGCACTGGCTGGAGAACCAATGTCTTTATAAGGCGTCTTTTACCGAAGGCGTGTGGGTGGACGGTACCCGTGGGGTAATGAGTTGTCTCACAGAAGGGCTGAGAGTGTTTCGTGTGTTCTTGATCCAATTTAGTTTGGGTGTAAATCACCTTAGCTTTTAATTCAGATCTTTCATAATGAATCTGCTTTTCACAAAAGGGCCAGTAGCACTGCCTCTGCCACAAGTAAAATATAAAAAACAAAGATCCAGGGTGCCTATACCAAAACCATATCAACAGCCCACCCACAGCTGCGTGCAGGCTGGTGGTTAAGACAGATAAAGCACTCTGAGCCGTGATGATAGGCACACAAGTTGAGTCATTGAAAATAAAGCTTGTTTTCCTTTTCCATCCTTCCGTGTGTGTGCGCGCGCACGCATGTGTGTGTGTGTGTGTGTGTGCGCGCGCGTGTGCGTATGTGCTCCTTGAGTCCAGTCACCGTATTTTACTCTAAGGAGAAGATAAGAGCTCTCAACTAAGAATCTAGTCTTGATGTACAAGTTGTCTTCTGTTATCTTTTTTATGTGGTTGGTGCTAAAACATTATTTGTTTAGAAGAGATAACTTAGTATCTGAGAAGTGATTTTTTTCCCTTAAATTCTCCATCTGCAGCATATTATGGCTTTAAATACACACAGAGAGAGTCAACCCCCAGAGCCTCAGGTCTCAGTAAATTGTCTTACTGAACTTGACATTCAACAAAGAATGAAGCTTCAAGCTGCTCACCTCTCAAAACAGAGCAACAGTTTTTTGTTTGTTTTTTAATTGTGCTTAAAGTGTGGAAAGATTGAACTACAGTGTCAAAAGTTAGCAGTGTGATGTTATTGTGAAAGCGGCCCTGTGTGTCTTTTTGCAAAACTAGTACCATATCTTTTTTTATTTGATCAGTATGTTGCAGGAACAATCATTCCTTACCCTAAATGCGACTGGCGTCTTACTTTCAAAGTGGTGTTCTATCGCTTGAATTCAAGTTGCCTAGAATGGCATAGAAGGTTTTTGATATCTAGCTTCTTAATGGGAGCCTAATGTTTAATAAAAATAGCAATAGCTAACATTCATTGAAAGCCAAATATATGCCAGGCACTGTTCTAAGTACTTAACTTACATTTATTTGTTCCTTTTAAACTTCATGACAGCCCTTTGGGTTAGGAACCGTTATCTCCATTTTACAGCTGAGTGAGCTGAAGCACAGTTAGGTTCCTTGCCCAAAGTCACGCAGCTAGAAAGTGGTAGAGTCCGAATTTAAACCCAGACTCTGTGACTTGAGAACCACCACTACCCCTCATGACTAGGAAACTCAAGCCCTCAATCAGTCTCAACACCCAATAACTGGGTGAAGAATTACAAAAAGGCACACAGTCCAAGAGCCCGGGCTCCATATTGAAGGACAGGCATTTCCGTTCAGTTTTGGCCTCACTTTGAGGCCTTTGATTGCCAGACACTCTGAAAGTCGACGCCACTGCAGTTGTGCTTGTAATCCAGAGCCACTTTTTCATTGCTTGATTTATCTTTCCTGGAAATCGATTCCCCAGTTCATACGTTTTTATGTTTTCTGGAAGTCTTTTAAGATTTAACCTAAAGGTCTGTTTTCTAGATGACCCAGACCCTGACGATGGATTTAACTATAAGCAGATGATGGTTAGAGATGAGCGGAGGTTTAAAATGGCGGACAAGGATGGAGACCTCATTGCCACAAAGGAGGAGTTCACAGCTTTCCTGCACCCGGAGGAGTATGACTACATGAAAGACATAGTAGTGCAGGTGGGCAAGAGCGGGGCTCGCAGCAGGAACGGGCGTTCTCTCGTTGTTGTGCACACCCTTTCCCTGTCGCCGTTCCTCTGTATTCAGGAGAACGACTTGCTCTGTGAGGGCTGGCCAGGACGAGTCCAGGCTCTGTCGCTGTGTTTCTCTGTGATCAAGTCATTTATCTTAGGTGCTGAGGACTCTGTTTAGTATGACAGTGCTTACCGTCAGATCATGTGTTTCACTATTTCTTGCTGGCTTCATATTGTAAGCATGAGAGAACATCCAGTAATCAGGTACTGCGTAATAACGGTGATACTGCCTAATTCTCGCAGAAGGCAGTTACCAGTAAAATGTAGACTGTACACGCACCTGTCACTTCTCGTGTTAGTGTGACTTGAGCATGATTGTGACTATAGCTGACCTGGGGCTCGTGGGTAGTTTGTTGTTGAGCAGTGCCAGTGTTCCTTCAGAAAGACTCATAGTCATTTTAGGTTAAAGCATAAAACACTGATAATTTATCATTTTCAGCTAGAAAAACAGGAGTTTCCTATGGTTTAACCATACCCCCACATGTCTACATGTAAACGTATACATGTATATGTGTGTGCATTTTAGTGAATGATAAGTAATTGCTGAAACTAATTTATGCAGGTACTAACTTTAGTCTCTTACTCTCTTCCGTCTAGGAGACGATGGAGGATATAGATAAGAATGCGGATGGTTTCATTGATCTAGAAGAGTATATTGGTAAGTTTGTTTCTAGAGTTTCTCTTATGAGAGGCTGAGAAGCTTTGGAAGATACGTTCACCAGTAGTGACAGTTTACCCCACCGGTCAGCTCTCAACACATTACTAAGCCAGGCCAGTGTGAGGAATAGGCGGTGTGGTCAAGCATCCGTAACAGCACTGTCCAATCAAAATGTAAATGTGAGCACGTGTTAATTGTAACTTTTTAAGGCCACATCAAAAAAGTAAAATACAAAGAAACAGATGAAATTAATTTCAGTAATATTTTATGTAGCCAAATACTCTGTGCAATACTGTAATTTCCACATTATCATAAATAATTGAGGGCTTTTGTTTTTTATACTAAGTCTTTAAGAGTGTCTTTTACACTTACGGCACATCTCAGTTAGGACCAGCCACCCGTCAGGTCCTTGAGAGCTACGTGTGGCCAGTGGCTGCGGTGCAGGCCAGCACTGCTGCAGCACCGCCCTGGCGCCCTGTGCAGCTGGCAGTGAAGAGCTACAGGGGGCCTCGTCCGGCACTGGGAAGCCCAGGAGAAGCCAGGGAATAGAACGAAGGAGACCAGTGGGTGGAGAAGGGGTCAGGATCGCCGATTCCTCTTAGAGCCTTTCGTTTTCACTGCATTCTATTTGTGTTTTCCATTTAGGGTCTTGTTCGTTTTATTTGGTTTTTAAAGATTTATTTATTTTTAGAGAGGGGAAGGGAGGGAGAGAAACATCAATGTGTGGTTGCCTCTTACAGGCCCCTGACTGGGGATTGAACCAGCGACCCTTTGATTCACGGTCTGGCACTCAATACACTGAGCCACACCAGCCAGCACAGTACCTTAACTCTTGACTAAATCTTGTAATATTTAAATACTGTAACAACTTCTTACCATTATCATTTATATAAATAATTTAAATAACCCAACTTTTTAAAAAGATTTTATTTTTTTTTAGAGAGAGAAGAAGGAGGGGAGAGAAACATCGAATGGTTGCCTCTCCCCCACACCCTATCCCAGTCCCGCAACTGGGGACCTGGCCTGCAATCCAGACATATTCTAAAATATACTTAGTGATTGGTTGGTAGACACTTTTGGCTTGTAACATACACTTCTCAGGTTTTCTTGAGAATTTAAAATAGCCCCTTTAAAAATCAATGGTTGGGTTTAATTAGCTACCTTTAAGTAAAATAGAATGTAGGAAACAACTGTCTTGTAAAAGTCCGTCTTTTTCTTTCTTGATGCTGTCATCTCCCTTTATTTCTGCACTTTCTCTAGAGGTAAGGACTCTCTTTACTCTCGTATTGCTCCAAATCAACAGCTGGAAGTATTCTTTTTTCAAGATTGATTAAGTTTCAGGGACATACTTTGTTTTCTAAGTTCCCTCTGGCCTAAAATACCCTTGTAACCGCTACAGGTTCCAAACAGTTGGATAAGAAAGGAGGGTTAGGTCAGATTAGCACGGAGCAGTCTTTGGAAAGAGCAGACCCACCTTCTCTCCGTGTTATTTCTGTGCACACAGGCGACATGTACAGCCATGATGGGAATGCCGATGAACCAGAATGGGTAAAGACGGAGAGAGAACAGTTTGTTGAGTTTCGAGATAAGAACCGTGACGGGAAGATGGACAAGGAAGAGACCAAAGATTGGATCCTCCCCTCAGACTATGACCATGCAGAGGCGGAAGCCAGGCACCTGGTCTACGAGTCAGACCAGAACAAGGTGAGCCCGGCCACGCCCAGACAGTCCAGCGGTGCTCCAGGTCTGTTTCCAGGGGTTGCCTGAGAAACTCCTATTAAGATACATACAACATTAACCTAAGCCTGCTACCAAACTCAAGTTGGAAGTTGGAGCTTTACAGGGCAGCACTAGCTGTGCGACCTCGTTTTAGAAGCGCCTCTGCCCTCTGTGCACAGCACAGAGGAGTAGGCTCCGGAAGAGAACCTCTTTGTAGCCCGCGTCCAGCGCACGGCTCCTGTTCTCATCGGGTCCCCAGGAAATTTTCTTTGCCTTTTTTTTTTTTTTTGCTTCATTATTTTCTTTGTTCTTTTACCTATTACAGGTTTGTTTTTGTCTACTCGAAGCTGGTTATTTTCTTCTTAAATCAAAAATGCTTTTTAAAATTAAGTCCTTTGTAGTAGATTATAAATAAGCTCTTTCTGGAGCCTGTTAAAATTGTCCTTGATCAATTGTCTGAGGTGTTTGGTTCATTAAAAGAGTGCTGTTCTCCATCTAAATTTGGAGGTTTCAGTATTCTGCACCTCCTTTTAAGGCTAATCTTCAGTTTCAAAAGCAGTTTCTTATCATCAAGCCTTTTTAAGGCTCAGTCTGTTTTGAGTTCTTGCCCAGTCGCTTCAGTAGCCAGTTGCTGTGTCCTGAGGTCTGTGAGAAGAGGAAGCTCATGTGACCATCCCCAGGGAATCTGGCCCAGACCGTGTCTAGGATGAGGGTCTGAGTCTTCATTTGGGGTTGTGTCCGGAATGTGATTGGCAGCTAGGGAGTGATGGGAGGGAGGACTGTGCTTGCTATTAGCAGACTTTGTTGTTCTGTTAGGTAATGACCTGATTCCCTCTAAAGCATTTTACCCAGTTCTTCCTGACTATCTTCCCTTACGTAGCAGGTGTCCCACAGTTTGCTCAGAAGCAGCTGTTTTCTCCTCAAGAAACAAACCTGTATCTCTGGCTTTGAGTTATTGAGCTATATTATTTCTTTCCTTCCATTTTTAACTTTCTTGATAAGAAAAAGGTACTAATTGTTATTTTCCCTCTCTGTGTGTTCGTATATAGGGGTGAGGGTGGCGAGGGTAGAGTTCATATTTAATTTACTGGGAATTAGAATCTTAAATCTTGTCAAACCTTTACTGATTGTTCGATGGCTGTGTTTCTAAGTTTGGAATGGGAAGTGCATTTGCCTCAATTCTCTCTCCTCTGATTTCAGGATGGCAAGCTCACCAAGGAGGAGATTGTTGACAAGTATGATTTATTTGTGGGCAGCCAGGCCACAGATTTTGGTGAGGCCTTAGTACGGCATGATGAGTTCTGAGCTGCAGACAGAGGAACCCACGTTTCTCCAAAAATAATTTATTTTTACAGCTTCTGGTTTCACGTGAGAGTGTTTGCGCTACTGAGACTGGTATTACAAACTTTGTAAGACGTGAAGAAACAGTGAGAACCATCCGGTCCCCGTCCCTTCTCCTCTGAGGGACTGGAGGGAGACCGTGCGTCTGAGGAACAACTAATTAGTCCACTTGTGTTTGTAGATTTACACTTTGTATTATGCATAACATGGTGTGTTTATTTTTGTATTTGTTCTCTGGTTGGGGGTATGATATGAAGGATCAAGATCCTCAGCTCATACTCGCAGGCAAAAATTAGCCCTTCCCTCTTTCTCAACTCTTACCATGTAATTTTTATAATTCTGACTTAACTCATTTTTTAAGCCTGAGATCAGTAAGAAATGTTTGGAAGAGAAAAAAAAAAGAAAAATGTGTACCCCACAGTTTATATTTAGAGATAATCTTGCCTCTTGAAAAGTATGTTTCATCAGCAGTAGGAGCCATGTATTCTCTCCGCTGCCACAGGTCCAGCCGCTGGTCCCGGCGGTGCGTGGGCAGGGACAGCTCCCTGTGCTGCCGGAACGCTTGGCCCAGCTTGGTTCCATTCACCCTTTTTTTTCTTTCCCCTTCCCTACAGGACTAGCTCTTTGCTAATTTTGTCAAGCACAGCTGTGGTGGGAAGAGTTAGGGCCAGTGTCCTGAAAATCAAGAAGTGAGTGTGATCTTTTTACAGAGCTATACATAGAAACAGCTGGAAAAATGCACGTGTTTTCAGGGCACACACTTCGTTCTGGGGGTGCATCTGTTGAGGTGCTCGAGACTGTCTGGTCTGTTGAATCACTGTAAGCGCCCCCTTTGGTGCCTATCTCCCCAGGTGTTCCAAGTAATAATTTTGCTTCCACTGAGGCTGAAATGTGCCCCTTTCCAATCATGTCATTGAAAGTGCCTTTAACGACAGACATGATCGCCGAATGAGGATTCTCTTAAGAAATTCTAAGTTACAGTAAAGAGACGATTATTTGGACCACCCTGTATGAAAGCTTAGAACCTCCCAATGTAGTGGGGATGGATTTTCTTTCCTTCTCTTTCAGACAGCAGTTAAATAGCAGTATTAGTTAGGAGCTCAGTTGCAGTGTTTTTATGTTGTGGGCTGGTTTCCAAAAACCACATGCTGCTGAATCTCCCAGGGATCCTCGTACCTCAGAACGCTGACCACTTACCGCCAGGCCTGTTCCTGAGCCGGCCGGGGAGCTCGGGCTCTGACCCTCGGGGGAGCGGGCCTGGGAGAGGGCTCTCGGGTGTGAGGACCACCGCTACTTACCCTCCCTGCCCCGGACCTGCCACTCCCAGCCCCCCACCACTCCCTCTCCCCTCTGCCAAAGTAAAAGTTTATCTTGGGTCAACAGATTGCCAGTCCCTATCGAAGAAAGGGGCATTAAAGAAAGAGCTGACGAAACTGTCCTCTGTTCCCCTCACTTTACCCCCCTGTTTTACATAACACGGGCTCTGTCGTTTTGGTCCCTTCTGACAGATGGACCTCTCTTAAGAGAATTTATTGTATTCCAAGTTTTTAGCCCTCAGGTTACTAAGATAAATATATGTATATCTAACCGTTACTATTTCATATATCTTTCTGGGTAATATTCGGGCGGTGCTGGGCGAGGATTGTAACCAGAATCGAGGTGTGTCCTTTGGTCTTCCGTGAACATGTTGAGGTGGGCTGCTTGACCTGGTGGGAAGCCAGGTGTCATGTAACCGCACCCCAGCCTTTGCATTGAGCTCTTGAGAGTGGATACACTCTTTTAAGTTTAACCCCAGTATAGGGGGGCATGGAAATTCTCTGCCCTCCAGGTCCCCATTTTTATTGTCAAGACCAGAGAGAACTAATAATGCCACCAACCCTGGCTTGGTGAGAGAGAGCCTCACGGCTCACTAGGGGCAGAGAACCTGGGCCTTAGGGTCGAGTCCCACTTAGAAAACGAGCCTTCCTCTGCTGAGACAGCAACTCCCGCTGCTGGGTGCTCAGTAGCCAGCGCTGCACTCTGATCTCTAACCACCCCCCTGGGTCACTGCTACTGTTACTTCGGTTTAGATCAAGCCTGGGGCTGGGGGGCTGGCCACACCCACGCTGTGTGCCCTGTGAACGCTGGCTCTCTTGAGTTTGGATGTTGGTTATTTTTTATAGAGTGTAAACCAAGTTTTATATTCTATAATGCAAACAGGTACCCATCTGTTTCTAAATAAAACTGTTTACATTCGTTCTGGGGCGTGTGGCCTTTATTCTAAGAGATGGAATGCTTGCTTAGAATGACGAGTGCTGCGAGACGTCACAGAGAAGGAGCTCTCCCGGGAGGTTTACCATCCCTCCACCCACAGGAGCCCCCGTCTTCTTCCAGATGCGGCGCTTTTCTTCCTGTTCTAGAATCCAGCCTGCTTACTGCACCTGTAGTCCTGTCTCTTCCCTTAGGCCATGTAGCTGCTCCTGACGTAGTTATCTGACACCAGACACAAGCCACTCCTGGGTGTGCACACAGCGTTAGTGTTGATTTTTACTTCTGAAAGGCCTTTTTCAGAGGGAAAGGGTGGGTATAAAGTATAAGGTAAGAGTTTTTTTAACACCTTACTTTGGCGTAGTTTATAAATGGCATCAAGTTGTTTAATTCTGTATTTTGAGAACGTGCAGTGAATTAAACTGTTAACTTTAGTAAATACACATTCTAAGACAGATACACAGGGTTAGCCAAGTAAGGGAAGAGGGAGAGGAAGCACCTGGAATAGTCGGTGCTGGCTTAGGGGCTTATGGACGTGATGTTTCTGCCAGAGCTGTTACAACTGGCATAGGCAGCGTGAAGAAATTCTTTCACACTCATATTTGGGACCTGCTAAAGGTTTTATTTATGTTTCTTCATGCCTCTGCCATTCTTAAGGTATTTTCTTGGAATATATCATCTCAGAACAGATGCCCAGTCCGGGGGTGGGGGGGCGTCACTAAAAAGGACAGCAGTTGTTGTCCATACACGGAAAACTCGGCCACGTGCCTTCGTAGTTTCCTCGTCTGCAGAGACCAGCTGTCCAAGTGCCGGGAATCTTGCCACTCAGGACTGGAAACTGATGGTTGTTGCACTGGCTTCCGGTGGGTTCTGAGTTGGGCCCAGCTGGAGCGATAGCTTCATAGGTAGGAAGGTGATAGGAAAACGGAAAATTGATTTCCCGAGTTGTCGTTGCTCCCCTTCCTGTCTGTTTTCTGCATTGTTAATAGTTAGGGTTTGGCAGAGGAAGTAGAAATCGCCTTAAATGTAAAATCCCAGTTGCTGCAAGTAGGCCAATATGGCACCTTAGCTGGGGCCCACTTGGCTGGAAGAGAGAGTAGAAACTTCAGTTCTCTGGGAACCGGGTGCATCAGACTCATCCGTCATGGACTTCCCACACACCATCTCCATGATGCAAGCCCGGAACTGGAGGGAAAGGGCAGAATTGGAGGTAGCGCCTCCCCCCCCCCCCCCCGCTGCCCCCGGCAGAACAGCACAGAGGAGATACTGTCAGGAAGTATGGGGGAAAAGATCTCACGCTTTGTCTCCCCAAAGCCTCAAATGATGCCTTCCATGTACCCACGGTCTCCTCGGGTGGGTTAGGGTGTGGTTTCCCAGTCCTGAGACTCAGTTTCCCGCCTAGGACTTCTCGCCTCCTGGTCCACAATACTCCTTACACATCCAGGCAAACCTGCCTGCCTCGCAGGAGCTCGGTCAGGTCCGCCGCCCCTCCCCCGTTCCTGAAAGGTCCTTGCGGTGGGGAAAGGACTGCCTGCTCTCCCGCCAGGTTTCACATTCGTTTTGGATCCGTTCTGGGACTGAAGAAACAATTCTCAAAGCAGAATGTTTGCTCCACCCCAGACGACTAGATTTGAGTTTGATTTTGGGGAGAGGGGTTGGTTGATTAGCTCAGATTTAGGATTTGGGGGCTGGACCACCTGGTACCTTTAGATAATACCCTGCTTTTGGTGTTTGTGCATGTGTTGTGATTTCTGCTTCGCACATGCTCCAGAAGGCTAGAAGTTGAACAGTAAAGGATTAAAAACTTGTGAATTGGAAGGGCTGGAGTGTAGGGGAACTAACTATTGATCTGTCAGTTCTTCAACGACAGAAAACTTTCACTTATTCTTTTCCTTTGGAGCAAGTCCATTTTTGTGGCTTCAGTTCTGTCCGACCTTCTTGGTGACCACACCTTCGTCCCTGTGGTTCCCTTGTGCCCCCTTAACCCTTTGAGTAGAGTCCAAGGCACTCCGAGTTTAAAGGCATTGTTGAGAAGAACTGGGTCTTAGGGACTAGTGAGCCTCATAGGAATGTAAACAGGAACTTTACCTGCTTATTCATGAAGCAGTAGATGATGGGGTTGTAGACACAAGCGCTCTTGGAGAAAAAGGCGGGAATGGTGACCAGCCGGAAGTCCAGCCCGTGGCTAGGATTGTTGACCATGTACATGGCCAGGGCAGCGTAGGGCACGTAACAGAGACAAAAGGATCCCACCATCACCACCACCATGCGGCTCACCTCCCGCTCAGCCTTCTGGGTCGAAGCTGACTCCTGCTGCTGGGCTGCTACCTGGGACAAGCACAGGGGAAACATCACATCCTCTTCTCGCCTCTCAACTTGCAGATCTCTGAACAATTTAAATTTTTTTTTTTTAACCTGGGGGACACCTGCTTCAATTGCCTCTTCTGTCCCTGTGTCTCGCCTAGTCCTGTGGCTCTCCCTCATTGAGGAAGGCAGGATGGAGGCAGCTTTATGGCCTGTGACATTGGAAGGGATCACATACATGTCTTGACAACTGTATTTGAGCAGGGATGACTCTACCTTATTCTTCATTCCAGTTCATTATTCTGCCTATCCCCGCCTCCTTCATTGCTTTTACATATCTCCCTGGCTGTGGTATTTGCAGATGTTTTGGAACACTCACCCAGCCTCCCCTCTCACCTGGAGCCCCCCGACCCTCACAAAAGCCACTCACAGCTCTGAGCGCCCCCAGCAGCTGAGAGTAGGAGAAGCAGATGAGGGAAAGAGGCGCGATGAAGCAGAGGATGAAGAGGAACCAGGCGTAGTACTCGCTGCGATACCTGGTGCCCACGGTGTACCAGTCGGGGCCACAGGAACACTGCAGGCCCTCGGGGATGAACCTGTGAAGGGACCGGACGCTCACCCACTGGACAAGCATTTGCACCCTGGGGGCTCACCACAGGAACGGTGGGGGAGCTGCGATTCCTGGGTCATGTTCCTGTATCTAATAGACCTCGGGGTGCCCAGCGACCGTCCCTACCAGCAGACAGTATTGCAATTCGAACCGTAGAGTAAACCTTAGCACTTGTCTCCCACAGCCCTTTCACCTGTTTCACCAGTTCTTTAAAAAGTAGAGGTCAGCCCTGGCTGGTGCGGCTCAGTGGACTGAGTGCCAACCTGTGAACCAAAGGGTTGCACATGCCTGGGTTGTGGGCCAGGTCCCCAGTGGGGGGCACGTGAGAGGCAACCACACATTAATGTTTCTCTCCCTCTCTTCCTCCTTTCCCCTCTCTCTAAAAAATAAAATCTTTTTAAAAATAATAATAATGAATAGTAGAGGTCAAGGCAGAAAAGGTTATACGCAACTCTCTACCCACACCAACCTGCCCCGCGCTCTCACCGGCTCCAGCCAAAGAAGGGTGGGAGGGAGACGCCGATGCCAATGGTCCAGGTGGCCAGGACCACCATCAGTGCATGCCTGGAGCTGAAGCGGAAGCTGCCGAAGGGTTTGCAGATGACAACGTAGCGCTCGAAGGCCAGGAAGGCCAGTGACCAGCCTGTGACCAGACCTGTGGTGAAACTGGGTTAATGGGTTAGCCTGGCAGGAGGAGTGGACTGCAGGGTGGGGCCGGCACAGCACCCAGAGGCAGGTTGGACTGGCAGTTGGAGTAGAGTTGGGGGCACGGAGGGTCAGACTTCTAGTCTGGGGTTTGTACCCCAATGTGCAAAAGCATCAAAGACTCCCCATTTGGGATGCACACTAGGCCAGCAGCCTGGTCCCCGGTTCCACCCACGGCGCCATGTCCTCTGCTTCTCCCAGCCCCCTTCCCCTGCAGTACCTGCTGCAGAGCCCAGGAAGGCCTCCAAAGCACACACGCGGCGGCCGAAGATGAAGTACCCCTGACAACTGGCAATGAAGACAGTGGAGACAGAGAAGGTGCAGAAGAGGAAGCCCCCCAGGGACACATTGACCAAGATGTAGTTGAGTGGCTGCCTCAGCTTTTTGTAGCGCAGTGTGGCCACCAGCACTGTGGCATTGAGGGGTGTCCCCACGAAGAAGACAAAGCCCATGAAAGCTGCCTGGAGGTGGAAGGCCCAGACAGGGGCGATGTGGTACTGAGGCCCATCCCACGGTCCCACCGAGGAGATGTTCTTGAACAGATAAAACTCCTCCTCCCCTGACATTTCGCTCACAGATGTCCCCACGCCCTCTGATCCCTCTTATAGGTGATCCTTCCCCCTCCACTTCTCCCCACCCCACCAAAGAACCCCCTCTTCCAAAACCACTTTGGGGTTCCCTGAATGATCAGGGCTGATCCTAAGCCTCCTAAGGACAAAGTCTGGGATTAGAGACCCCAAGCCCCCACCTAAACCTCCTTTTGCAGCCGCAAAGCCGATTGCGTGTTCCTCGGAGGACAGACGATTGGGCTCAGAGAGTCTGGACCTGCAGACCTGGGGGCCAGGATGAGCTCGAGTCTGCTCCCCAGGTCCCGGGAGATGCTGACCCATTTGCAGTACAGATGCTTCCACCACTGATTTGTTTCCCCTGTGAATGGAGCTCTTGGGGGCACCCGTCTCCATCCCTCTAGATGCCTGCACCCCATCTGCCCCTTTGTGGAAGTTGGCCCCTAAGTCTCCCTTTTTAGAGACCTCGGATTCTCCGCCAGCCTGGGAACCAGCCCCGGGCTATAGGAAGGGACAGGGGATGGTGAGTGTCCTGCAAACACCCAGTAAACAGCCTTCAGGGCGGGGCACAGGGCAACTTGACAATGCCTGGAGGTCTCCGGCATCCCAGGCTGCCTCTGTTTCTTCTCAGTGAGTCTGTCCGTGCCTGTCCTGCGCTGAGCACCCCAGCCAGGCTGAGGCTGGTTGGCTCGCAGTCCCTCTCGCACCACGTTCAGGCCCTCAGCTCAGCAGGGCCCAGGCTGCCACTGCCTTCCCTCCCGTCTGCTTGCCCGGGCCCTGCCCAGCCCTCTCAGCCTAACTCACCA